GCATCTTCGACCACCTCTACACCAGAACAAAAACGTTGAAACCAAATGGAAACTGTATCGGGTCCATAAACTGCACAAATTTTATTGGCGGCTTGAGATGCATTGTTGCCTTTATCGTGGTAGTACTGTAAAATATGCCGTATTTTTTCTTTATTTTGCTCCATGTTTGTCACGCTATAACTCACGAACGACTTAAAATAAACGACAACCAATCAAACTCGTGTTAGCGCGTGAAACCTTTCGAAAAAGGTATAGCATGACCCGATACGACGAATGAAACTAGAACTACGCGCTCTCAGCGCCAACTAGCGAAAATACCGCAAAACTTTTTTGACAACCTATATCATTTACATTTACATTTAGTTTTCGTTTGCCTTGGCTGTCCATACGTCCTGGCTTTTACTTTAAAAATGCATTCATACCAACAAAAATTGAAACTCAATTTTCAAATTTGTGTAAAATAATTTTGATTTTCTGTTATTTATTTTAAATCAAAATCGTTGTTTTCCTATACTACTCGCCACTTCACCCGACCTATCAATTGTTATTTGCGAAGTTAAAGGTGCTCGAGCGAAAGGTTATTAATGTCATTTTGGGTGAATAAAATTTATTGCGGCATTCACAAAAACAAAACAAGAAGCAAAAATAAAGCAATATCTACAACAAACAAACAGCCGAGCTAAATGCTGTCAGCCGAAGGAAACCACCCACCCACCGCATTACTACACATACTACATATTACTATCGACTGCTTTGGCGTACAAATTGCGACACTCCAGCACACTCGGCACTTAGTATACCCGTAGTAGTATACACCAACCTCTTTGCGGTTCATTCATAAAAATTGCCGCAAACGTATACTTTTCACATGTACTGTCCTCGACGTCGGCGCACTTGCGCTTGTGCGCTCCTCGGCCACGCTCTCCAGCCGACTTGTAAGGAACGAGTAAAAAAACAGAGCTTCTCCACACAATCCTTTGCACTTCGTGTCGCTTCGGCACGCCAACAAGGCTATTACTGCTTAATGGCTGAGCGTAGCGTGGTACTGCCGTTAGTTGGTCGACAAATGCGCTCGCTAACGGTATAAACCACACGTACAGTTGGACATTTTACGCTGTCGCGGTCGGGTGCGTCTTTTGCTGCGGTCGGCGGTGCTTTTGTGCAGTCGCTTTATATGGTGTGCGCGTGAAAACGGCGGGAAAATCGTAAATTATTCAAAAAATAACAATTCTACTGTCGCGGAAAGTGTGGTGAAATAAGTGCACGAAAGAATTGTGCGGCCGAATTGAAGTTTGTTAAGCAACAATATATTATAAAGCGCTTGAAAAAGGTTAACTAAACGCGTGTGTTTTGCTTCCTTTTTTTTAAGTGTTTTTGGCAATTTCACCATTTTCTCTCGCAGCTTGAAAAAATATTAAAAATATTCGCTGGCGCCAGCGACACTTGCATAAGACACATACATATATACATAATTTAAATTGAAACCGATATTCGTCTACAATACTCGGTGTTTATTTAGGTACACATGGACATATGTATATACATATACTTGTACTTGTACATATGTAAATTGGTTCGAGGTTATATGTATCTATTAGCTTCCGGAGCGGAAGCCACGCTGCGCATCTTCTAGCTTTTCATACACTCCTCCGTATATGTATACCATGTACATACATATTTAAACAAACAGATACTAAGTATGTTGTTGCTTTCGGTTGTATTTGTTGTTATGGCAATAAGGCCATTATTGAAGACGTAAATGTGTGGAGTTCATGTATACATTCGCCTATATAAATGGACTTGAACTTTAAGTATATATGTATACTATGTTTGTTTGGACTTTTTCGGAAAGTACCTGGTCAACGCAACAATTTTGACTTCAAGCACACACACAATTTTTTTTTTTTTCTTTTTTAATATATATTTTTTTTTTTATAGACAGACTCTGCGGCCTCACTATCGATACCTCCCCCGGGTATCATACTGTGGGGACTCAAAATTCTTACAAGCGCACAAGAGATGCTCCATTGTTTCCCTGACATCAGCCTGAAATATGCTGCATTGGTCCGGAAACTTAAAAGGTTGCCTTATGCCTAACTCTGGACAGTATGCTCCCGCACCAACTCAGTCATCTATTTTCGAGCCATCAATATAGATATTAAGAGTGTTGCGCGTAGCTAACATACCTTTAATCCAGACATCTTTTTCTATGCTTACTTTGAACTTCCTTTCCCAGTTGAAAGGTGGGGTCATGTAGTCAGTGTTTGCCCAACCACCTATTGCCCACCGCTATATCCGAAGATTTTATATGTTAATTCTCCTACAGCCCGTAGTCGTCCCGTTGATTTTGCTGCGCAGTTTTCGAAGAGGTCTATAGGAGGCAAGTTTAGTACCAGTTCAAAAGCCGTTATTGGAGTTGTTCTTAAATCCCCCATTATGCACAGGACAGCGAGACCCTGAACCATTTCCATTAACTTCCGGTGGGTGGATTTCGTACGCCCGTCCACCATATTATTGCACTCTACAGCAGAAATGGTCTCACTATAGCTGTGTACCACCAATGCGTGAGAGAGGTAGAGAGCCCCAGATTGTGCCGAGCATCAGTCTACATGCATATAAAGCATTGCTGATTTCCTCACCCGTTTTTCAACGTTGTGCTTTTACAAGAGCTTGCTGTCCAGCACTATCCCAAGGAAAAAGGGTTGTGTCACATTTCTAGAAGGTAACCTGAGTAGCAGTTATTTAACTTAAACTTACATTTCAAACAACTTCTCAACTCTCTCTCATATTATACTGTTTTCGTCGGTAAAGTCTTCAGCAATATCATAATAATTAATGAAAAAGGACTATGTCAACTAGCAGTAGATATTTCGCTCCGAAGCGTATTCAAATCACAAACCCTGTGCACAAGAAATTAAGGAATGTCTTACGTCGCTATCACCGGCATCTCGTCACTTCGTGAGAGACACAGCGGAAGCGCAAATAATTGCAAGCCGATGGTCTCATAAGAAAAGACTCTTTAGCATTACTATCAATCGTTCGAAGCTTCGCTAACTATCTTTGGATAGTTAGGCTTCTCAGCAGTTTGACCAGCGCTGGGCTATCATTAGTTCATAGGCCGTCGCAAGAGGTCTGTTAAATCCTTGCGCACAGTAAGGCTAACGTTACCCTAGTTTTAGCGCATCTAACTGTCGCTTAAACGTGGAGAATATTATCGAATACCAGTCTTAGAAGCTGCTCTTAAGAAGATGAGGTAGAAACATCTCAGCACTTCCTTCTGAATTGTCCCGTCTTTGCGAGATATAAGTTTTCCACGAACAAAATCATTTGCAATTGACAGGAGCGGACAATAATCTCTTGGTGTCAAGTCCGGACTAACAAATGGCTAAATAAAAACCTCGAATAAAGCTTTCGAAGCTTCTAGCGGGTCACTAATGATGTATGTAGCCTGTCGTTGTGCCGATAGAATACAATTTCGCTACTACATATTAGAAATAGCTTGCCGATTCTGGGCGACTGTTATCTGCAGATGGCCAACTTGTTAATGATACAGGTGCGAATTAAGAATTTGGACGTAGAGGCACAGCTCATAGTGAATGATTCCTTGCCGATCCAACTGAAAACTAAGGAAAATTTTTCTTGCATTTTTAATTTTATCGAAGAAAAACTGTAACATGAGACATTTTCTATTTCCTGGCATACATCTTTCACGAGTACTCTAGCAATATTTATCGGAGACCTTACATTACATACCTTCAATCGAAATTACAAAAAAATAAGCAAGCAGCTCTTCTTTCTTATATATTTGTGTTCAAGCTTGAGACTTTTAGAGTTAATACTTTTTTTATTGTTATATGAAAGCTACAAACCACTTCGTCTCATAATTATCCTCAACAGTTTGTCCTCGTACTACATTACCATTTAATTTGACTATTATACAAATAAATTAGATAAATCACAAGTCCATCTTAATAATACAACCACTTTAATATATCATAAGGACACTTGAATTATGGACTTCAAGTATTCGTCACTAATTAATAAATACTTAATACTAACTGCCAATTGACGACGAAAGCTTGGCACGTACATTGCAGCAACCGTTATCAGCGCCGACACATTTCCATTATAAATGACTCCACAAAGAACGGGACCATAAAATTAAGCTTCTCTTGTTTTGCGGAAACGTCATTAAGCAAAATTTGTTAATGTCTTTTGAAGTGATTAAATTGTGGCGCAAACTGTAAACAGCTGAGGGAAAAAAGCCAAGGAAACGCTAACAAAACAGGAAGCTGCGCAATTAAGAACTTTAGCAAAAAAATAACAAAAACACACAAGAATGTCAACAAATATTTCATAATTAAGAAACTCACTGGAATGCATAATAATATTCAAATTTCGCTAACAAAAAAAGTTGACAAGCTGCAAATTGAGTGATAAGTAAGCGTGAGAGCCGATGGTGGCAAACCCGCAAACAAACAGAATACACACGCGCCACATAGATGAGAGTATGTTGGGCGTATACAACAACAACTATTTGTTCGGCAGTAAGTAGCTGCAAGGAAAACAAGTGAGACGCACATAAATTCGAGAAGCGAGTATTAGGGTAGAGACCAACACACACCAAAACTCGGGACTTGCCACAAGCTGCTATACTTTGGCAACGACGTAGGCACCAGAATAGCTACGAAATGTGTATGTAACTGATAACAGTACTCCCGTTATAAACTTACGCACGTATGCTCTGAAGGGGGGTAGAGCTCCAACCCGCTTTTGACCTCGACGCACTTGAAAGTAAGCAGCAAAGAAATTCTCATTGAGTTTAGGCTCCAAGAATTTAATGAACATTTGGAAAGTGCGGTACGCAGACGTGGCAAACCGGAGGACTTGCAACAACGGCCGGCAACTATCAAGTGGGGTTACAAAATCAGCAGTCACTTTCCAGAGTGTGTTTGGCTGGTAGCCGCAAAGCACATATTTTAAAAAATTAAACAGCAACTTGGACGGAAAAGCAGCGCGCTCACTTAGACACTTTATTGCAACTAAACAGAGTAGAAATTCCCCTCAGCTTACCCACTGCAACCACACACACGATCGCCTTGTTCCGGGCCATGGAAATGGATGTTAATCTGCGTAAAGCCAGCGCCATTGAACTAATGACCATATCGGCGGGCTCGTACAGCAACAACAATAAATTCAACAATAACAACACCGCACCATCATTTGCCTTGCGTCCGGTCGCTCCAGGCACTCCGCCACCCCATCGCATCGGCTGTTGTGGCATACTTGGCCGGTTGCTTTGCACCGGCACAGCCAAAACAGCCAGCAGCAGCAGCGACTATAACAACTTGAATAGCCTGCTACCTAACAACGGCGGCAATCATCAAGCGTTGCATGTGAATGTGCCGGCTACACCGAGTGCCGCGGCTGTCGTGTCGGCCGTATGCAACTCGGGTCATACGCGGCGTCCGCAGTCGCGTCGCACGCCGCAGGAAATCTACTTCGAGAGCCGTGGCAAGTCGTGCAAGAAGCTACTAAAATTTAACGGCTACTCAAACAAGGTGAGTACCAAAATGAAAAATTGTAATTTTTTTATATGAAGTTGCAGTGATACTAGATATTTACCGTTTTACATGTCCTTAAAATTTTAGACAATTGTAGACTAATTTGGTTTCACTAGTTTCGAAGTGGTTTTTTTTGGGGCTGTTCTTAATTAGGGGGCAACACTTATCAATAAATATTTTAATTTTTATTTTATTCATTAAAACAAGGTGGCAACACTTTTTATAATTATTTAAATTTTTATTTTATTCACAATTTGGTAATTAGGTGGCAACGCTTAACAACAAATATTTTCATTTTAATTATTAAAAGTTGTTAATTAGATGGCAATGCTTGAAAATAAATATTTTCATTTTATTCACCAAAATTTGTTAATTAGGTGGCAACATTAACAACAAACTTTAACAATTATTTAAACTTTCATTTCAAATCAATAAAAATTGTTATCTAAATGGCAACCTTTATTTATAATTATTTTACTTATTCATTAAAAATTGATATTAAAGTGGCAACACTCATCAATAATTATTTTCATTTTCATTTTATTCATTTAAAGTTGTTAATTAGGTGGCAGATCTAACCAATAATTATTCTATTTTTCGATTTATGCAATAAAAATTGATAACTAAATGGCAACAATTATCAGTAAATATTTTACTTCTCATTTTATTCAATAAAATTGTACAATTAGGTGGCAACAGTTATCAACAAATATTTTCATTTTATTTAATAAAAAAATTTAATTAGGTGGCAACGCCTATCAATAAATAGTTAAATTTTATTAATAAAAAGTCGATAATTAGGTGGCAACACTTAGTCAGTAAATATTTTCATTTTCATTTGATTCATTAAAAATGGTTAATTAAGTGGCAACGCTTATCAACAAATATTTTCAGCAGTCTCATTTTTTGATATCGGAACTAATGAACTTCTCGTTCAAAAATTTCAGTTTAATCAAAACTTGGTAGCTCTTTGAGCCATTTGAGCAGCCTAATACAGATAAATGCAGACAAAACTGCTTCAGCCTTGATTTGACAAAAACAAAAATACCACGACATCCGGGAAAACTTTCAATTATCCCGATCGGACACTGATAACATAGAACTCCTAGAACTACAGAAAAGTGAGCTGCATTCGAAGAGCTCACTAGTCCCCTACCTCGTTCTAGAGATACCCTGGGACCGCACAGTTACTGTTAGCTGACCAGCATTTACCGAGCTGAGCTGCGGCTAAGCCAACCAATAGTAAACCGCACAAAGCAAGCAGACCTTGCACTCATTGCCATTCAGCAGCTAGTGAAGTAGAAGTAGCTATAAAAGAGTTGCTGCTGATGGCTTTGCACTTTACTCCATAGCCACTTTTTGGACTCGTTGGATGACTATCGCTTCTACTCGCAGTGAAATTATGAAGTTTTATTCATTAACAAATATTTATGGTATACTGTAATCTGGTTCCTCACAGATATGAAATGGTATTAAACGGCTAAAAATGCTGATCCTATCATCAGTTCGTTGATAGCTTGCTTCTCGCTAAGCAAAGACAACACATTTTCTTCTATATCTTTAAAATGCCAGATACCTTTATTTACTTCAATTTTCAGAAATTCTCTGACATTATACCCTCAGCTGTGTATATTAGGCTTACGACTTGATTTGTAACACCCAGCAGGAAACTTCTGAGAACCGTGACGCGCTTAGTTTCTTTACCTATGTCGTTTTGTCAAAATATACGCGAACTAATCCCTCAGTTTTTGAGATATCGATCTAAAAATTTTCGCACGTGCTTTTCACCTCAAGCAGCTGTTCATTTGTTGGAACGGCTGATATCGGATCACTATAAGATATAGCTACCATATAAACTGACTAATCGGAATCACGTGCTTGTATGGAGAACTTTTTCATTTTGTGAGATATCTTCAAGAAATTCTTGTATGAATAATTGATTAAGATAACGGTCAAGTCACCGAAGAAATTGTTTAAATCAAGTCACGATAGCATATAGCTGCCATACAAACTGAACGATCATAATGAAGTCGTTGTATGGAGAACTTTTTTATTTGACGAAATATTTTCATGAAATGCTGCATAGACTTTTATTTTAACCAGCGCTTTAATTTACGAATATATTGTTCAGATCGGAGAACTATAGCATATAGCTGTCATACAAACTAACCGATCAAATTCAAAAGGAGTATCTTTTTATACCCTTTTATTACTACGCTGTAGCCAAAGTTAACGTTTCTACTTATTTGTTGCATAATATATGTGCAACCACTTGAAATATTCAGTCAGTTCCCAAAATATAATTACGAAAGTAATTTAACTTAATTGAACTGCATAGCACGTGCAGCAAACATTTATATGTATATCTTAGATGCATACTTGCGATATATTATTTTGACACAGTTCTGATACCCTAAATGCCTTCGTACATGACGAGGTTATATATTTGTCGCATAATGGCAAACTAGGCTATTCATATGGGCCCATTTATTGACGTACTACATGGCGTATGAGTGATCAAAAAGCCACCTATACCGCGCACTTGCATATATGCCGGCATAAATATGCCTAACTGCAGCAGCGGCTCGTCGCTATTGTTATGCCAGCATATGGATGGCCATAAATCATCTTCTTAGCCATTGAGCTGCTGTACGCGCGGTTCTACTCGACACCGTTAAAAGCATGTTCGTGCGCTGTTGTCACGTTGCCATGTTGTTGCAACATCAAGTAGTGGCAACAAATGTCACAATCACATACTAGGTAGGTGCAGTTTACACACCTTCCTTTACTCTCTCTCTCTCTCTCTCTCTACTGCTCACACACGCTTAAAATCCCAACTTTATTACTGGTGACTCCACTACATACATACTATATGTCGTTAGGCTCCTAGTACAGGCCAACCGCAGCCTAATAATTCGTGATTCCTGTCTTTACTTGCCACTAGCATATTGAAAGTCGTCAACGTATTTGGTTCATGTTGAAATGGGCTGGTCTTGCCTTAGCCTCGAGACAGTCTGCCTTACAACTTCAGCTGCTGGGTGGTGACACTCTGCCACCGCACGTATGCGCTCATAATCATATATATACATACTTATATGCTTGCATTTGAATACCTAAGTAGCAAGTGAGCTGCAGTGTGGTAGTTTGCCTTTGTTATTCCAGTAAGCCAAGTTGATGCACTTTCTGTGCAGTTGACTCAACTTGATTCCTTTATATTGAATATCTTTCTATTCAGGGATTTACAAGTGAGTGCGCTCCCTCGGCGACACACGCAACGCTTTCGCTTTACGGTAATAAATTCTTATTTTATATCCACATTTTGCATAAAAGTAAAATTAAAATATTACATGGTAAATATATTACACTGAATAAGTGATGAGATGGTAAAGACTTGAAAGCAATGATGCCAACAAAGAAGGAGTTGCGAAACCAACCACTCAAAGATTAAAGTAAATCCATTGTGGTTATATAATTGGTACCAAATTGAACTCATAACATTTTAGTTCCTTAAAACGACGAGAGGATTTGCTATTTTGAAGCGATACTTCTCAAGATATTTGGATCTCAAATTCACAAAGCTAGACGCTCTTTTAGAAGAGCTAATAATATTACCAATAAAATTGTCTCTAAGAATCCATAGGAAGTTTGGCAAGTAGTTGTACCACATCACACGCAACTGGAAAAACCCCTAATATATTCGTTTACACAGAAAATTCGGCCAGTTGCGGCAAGATGAACTAACTTAGTGGTTCTGCCATCTCTAAGCCGGAAGAACCTCGCAGTCACACAAAAGCTAAACATCGACCAACCCTTGTTAATTTCACGCGAGTATCATAGGTTCAGTGCCAGAATACAAGAGGATAATGATGATCGAGCTCGTACACTTGTGAAGAGGATATCGTCTCCAACGAGCTCATCGGCAAAGAAAGTAGTAGTACATCTAATGTGCTTTACTCTAAATCAGACAGATCCCGCAATAGTAAAATAGCTGGCCATAGACGGAAACCTGTTGAGTTCATGCGAAGTCAATAGATTCAGTAATGAGTCTAAACGCAGTCTTCGGTAGGCCTTCAACTATCGAAGCTGCAAAGGCTATCTTATGTCTACAGGAGTAATACGCAGTTGCCCAACTGCGGGACCGCATACCAAACCATTAATACAATGGGACGTTTTCTGAGCATCTTCCGAGCAGAAGTCTTTGCTTAAGTCAGTGTGAAGCGACACTAAAGGCGATCTCAGCGTATACGGTTGAATCACTTTTAGTGAAGGAGTGTCTAGAAAGGTTGAACTGCCTATCAGTGTGCAATCGGGTACAACTAATCTGGATGCCTGGACATTAAGGGGTAGCCGGCAATGAGCTGGCCGAGCAAGAATGCGCATTTCCAAGCTACTTCTGGAAGGATAGAACCTTGCAAGAAAGTGATCAACCTTCCCCTGAGACAAATTCCGCCCTCTCGTCGCGCCCTATAAAAGGCACTGCAGGCTCAGGAAGCACTTGTCCAACCAACATGGGTATAGTCTCTTGAGCAAACAGTAGTTATGCGACATGAAACAAGAAACTCCAGAACACCTGCTTCTGGATTGCACTGTTATTTGCAAAAGCAAACTCAAGTCCCTAAGCTACATGGACAAGGATTAAATCACTTCAGTCACGCCCAGCAGGCTAGTGAAATTGTTCAGGTTGCTGGACCTTTGTGTGCACTTGGAACAAGACTGTCCCTTCGAACGAGCTAATCAAATTTGCAGTTTCTCGCGATTCCGTTATGAGCAGCCACCCAAACGAGATTTATATTATAGTAGCCTAATGCTGCGAGGTTCGACCACGTGTGAAAAATTTTACAACGCCACTTTCACAGTAAATTCGCTCCGTCTACATGTCCTTCGTCGTTATGTGACCAGAGAAAAAGCCACCAGGAGTACACCCTTCTTTTTCGAATTTCCCGCCTTACCCAGATCAAGGTAAAAACAGCTCGGATATCATACTTTTAGACATCCGGTAAAACAGCGGAAGTAGAAAAAGATAACCTAACCAATTTTATGATAGATTGAAAGCTATTTGCCCACATGTAGCTACTATCAAATTACAGAGTTTTTAGCTTGGC